CTGCGAGAAGAACCATCAAAATTTAACGTGTTTGTCGCTAACCGAATTTCTACCATACATCAATTAACGGAGGGCATGCGGTGGCACTATGTGCCGACAGCAATGAATGAATGAATCCGGCTCCAAAGGAGCCACCCCCCAGGAACTTCTAAGTTGTCACTTTGGATGCACGGCCCGTCATTTTTGCGAGAAGTGGAGGGCAGCTGGCCACGCATGAGTCTGCCACACCCCAAATTTCCAGAACTTCGACAAAAGGTGTTGCTTGCCGCACATGACCGTAATGATATTTCGCTTTCTTTCAAGTACATTACTTCATTTCGAACAATGCAGCGCATTTTTGGGTACGTCAGCAAATTTGTCAACATCAAAAAATCGCCAAGGTCTTCGCAGCTCACAGCCGCAGATATTCACCATGGAATTCAACTGCTTATTACCTTAGTACAAAGAGCGCAACTTTGGCCGGAGTACACTGCATTGCGTCCCGAGTTCGAGCAGCCTTGCTTTTCTATCACCATTTCTTGATGACTTCGGAATTATTAGAGTCGGTGGTCGATTAAAAAATTCGATGCTTAGCTTTGAATCGCGCCACCCATGCATTATTCCGAAGGATCATTTACTGACATGTAGTATAATAACCTGACATGTAGTATAATAACCTGACATGTAGTATAATAATAATCGCAAACAACATCACGCAGGTCCTCAAGCTTTACTCGCCTTCATTCGAATGCAGTTCTGGCCCATAGGTGGTCGGAAAACAGTCACTCGAGTCCTACAAAAATGCATTATTTGCTGCAAATCGAGACCGCACCTTGTCGAGCACATAATGGCCGACCTGCCTAAAGAGCGAATTCAGGCCTCGCGCCCATTCATAGTCACCGGTGTGGACTACTGCGGGCCATTTTATTACAAGCCTGAAGTACGCAATAAATCGCCCCACAAATGTTATGTAAGCGTAAGAGACCTCTCAACAGGTGCTTTCATTGACGCGCTAAAACGATTCATGGCTACGCGTGGCATGCCTAGCTGCATCTGGTCGGACAATGCGACGAATTTTGTAGGCGCCAAAAACGAGCTTAAAGTAAACTACGGAACTTAGCCCTCAGCGAGAAACCCCGCAGCGAAGTGCACAACTTTTGCCTCAGTAATGGCTTTGATTGGCGTTTCATACCACCCCGCTCTCCGCACTTTGGCGGTTTATGGGAAGCGGCCGTTAAAACAGCCAAACAACATTTCTATCGTTCAGTTGGCTCATCACAGCTTGGCTTCGATGAATTGCGTACTTTGGTATGTCAAATCTCGTCCTCTCGTACCCCTTTCAGAAAACCCAGAGGATTTAGATGTGCTAACGCTAGGCCATTTTTTGACTGGTAGTTCTCTGACAGCTCTTCCGAAACCGGATCTAACGATGTTAAACTACGACCGACTTGATCGATGGCAGCGTGCAACATACATTAAACAGTTTTTTTGGAAGCGGTGAACTCAAGAGTATCTAACTCTTCTACAGCAACGCGCAAAGTGGCATTTACCTCATGCCAACATTGAAGCCAATGATGTCGTATGCATAAAGGAAGAAAACTCACCACCACTGAAGTGGCCTCTAGCACGGGTAATCGAAGTTGTCCCTGGAGCAGACGGTGTCGTACGTGTGGCACTTTTAAAAACATCTAGCGGCATAACGCGACGAGCCGTGAACAAGCTGTGCGTCCTCCCGGTGAAGGATTCTGTTGAAAGTCCTGACCTTTCAACGGGGGGAGGATGTTAGGAGCAGCAGCGGATAAGCCAGCAACATAAAATATGTTTTTCAAAATCAATATGAATAATGTTATCTGATCACACTAAAATTTTCATACTCAATTGAGCTGCATATTTACCTATATGTATTTAAACTGTGCTAATTTTGTTTCCCCTTTATACTATGTATTAAGCATATGTATACACGATTGAGAGAATACAAAGGTTGGGCCGACCTCGGACCGCTATTCCTCTCTTAACGAATTTTACAGAATCGTTGTTTGCATGACGTTACACTTGTGCAACTTGTTTATGTTTTCCTTGCAACATTTTTTCTTATTCTTCCATTCTTGCTCACGTTTTGGCATTTCTCACTCGCAATTGCACCAGTGTGACGTCACACAAAAGTTATTCTCAAAAATCCTCTCTGATCGGCGCAATCTTGTATTCTATCATTCTTGATATGTATATACATACATATATGTATGTGCATATGTACCGCCCGCGCTCAGTTGGATACATTCGTTTGTGCTCACTTACACACGGCGATTTTTGTGGCCGCAACTCGACGTATGTGGGAGAGAGCGTGACGAGGAAAGGAGAGGGGCACCGAGTTGCTCGTGCTCGGGCAACACGCTTTGTGCTCCCGTTCGTCTGTGTAAATTGAACCGCTGTTCACAGCTGACAACAACAATTGCATACACACAAATCGCCGTGTGTAAATGAAACGAGCAACACCAAAAGGGAATGTGAAAAATCGCGTCGACAAAAGTTTCCGTGTATAAACACAGTCCATGCAAGCAAGCGAAAAATATGTACATATGTAATGTAGGCAATACTGTGTGCGCGGGTGCATACGTACATAAATATATATATGTAAATTCTCATGCATTTAAGAAAACTGGTTTTATATTTTTGGTGATGAATTTGCAGTTACCCAATGTAATTAGGACATACATAAATAGTTCAAGGTGAACTTTCTTTGAGTTAGTCGTGGACTGAAATTTGTCAAATACAGTTGCTTAGCTTATGCATAAATCATTTGTTTTATTTTAATAGCTGCTAAAAAGGCTTAGCAGCTCAACACGTCTATTTAGTATTCCGTTCGTCTAGTAAAAAGATATAGCCCTATTTATGCGTATCCATTCTGAGTAATAGTGAATTAAATAGGTATATAAAAGATGAAACATTTGCAAAATATTAGCGCTGTCGCTTTTTCTTTCCTGAAAAATTTGCGTTTGTATTTACCAGCGCCACTTCGCTCGTACTGCATTGGTTGTACAAAGGTCCATTCATTATTTTCAGGGTGGTAGCATTCTACAGTTGTCAGTCGATCAGTTCCATTAAATCCTCCAATTGCGTATAATAATCGATTCACAACAACCACACCTACACCTAATCTTTTTTCATGCATGGGTTGTACAAGGGTCCATCGATCTTGCTCTGGATCGTAACTATAAATAAAAATATGAAATATGAAACGTTAAATTTATACGCATTGTTATCTATGGTACATACTATTCGACTGAATTGTGGTATTCTGATCCAGCGGATCCACCTATTGCGTACATCAATTCATCCATTACAGCCACGCCAACTCGATGACGTGGTACTGTCATTGGAGCGCACGGACGCCATTGCTCTGTTGCAGCATTATACCGATCTACCCAGTCGGAATCATAGGATGAACCAATAGAATTATTTCTTCCCCCCACAGCATAGAATGTGCCTTTCAAGAAAGCTGCACCCAGACCAGACCGGGGAATCCGTAAATTTGGCAAAATTGTCCATGTTTTGTCATCCACGTTATATGCTTCCAAGATGTCCAATGATTGCCGGAAAAATCCTCCGGCCACAAAAATCATTCGAGTTGTATTTGGCGTACGTTCTTTTACTACCGGTCGTTTGTGTAAAGTCAGATCCTTGAATATCTTGGCTAAGTACTCTCGACAAGCAGGAACCTTACGTAACACATCACAGTTTCTCATTTGCTCTTTAAGAAAATTAGGTGTCAAGAACTGACAACGAACGGCACAAAGTATATGCTCCATTTTTGGGTAACGGTTTTCTTCATCATATTTAACCCATTTAAGAACAGCATTATATACTTCGCGCTCCTCTTGAACATTTAGCTCGTCGCGACGAATTAACGCAATCAATTGGTAAGCGGTGAGTTGAAGAAACTCTTCTTCCTGGCATACCTATAATTATAGTAATTTAAATATTACTATACGTAACTGGTTAAAATGTATTGTATTTATGTGCCTGAATGCTTTCGCATGCTATTCCTTATGCCTCCGATGCAGTGTTGCCACAAAAAAATTACCAAATTCCTCAAAAACAAATGAAAATTCCTCAAAATCCGAACAAATTACTCAAAATTTTCGTATTACAGATATGAGTATTTACAAGTACTTAGTATAAAAATTGATTAGATTCTCCAATTCAATTGGTACATTTTTTTTTTTATACCTTGGTTTCTATATAATATTGCTGCAACTATATCAGTGCTCAATCTGGTCCTCAAGTCATTCCTACACATTTTTAAACTACTAAATATACATTCTCCTGAAACATTAGAAAAGGACTATATTAGTAATGCAGATATAATTTTTTTAATTAGGAAATTTATATGAACCTGATCCTTTAATTAAAAAATGTTGTTCCCATAATTTTCTCGATCTAATGAACAATCAATATTAATATCCTTCTGATCGAACAATGCTTGTTTTCTCCATACGTTACCGAGATTTTGCAAGTTCAAAATAAGTTGAAAATATAACGATATAACGAAATGAAAAAATTATCAACAACATTTTAAATATTTAGCAACAAATGCAGATGTGCTTAAGAGCGAAATACACCACACAAACGGCATGTCAAACATTCTTCAAATCTACTTTTCCCATTTCGCCATACACCATACCATAAGAATTTTAGTTTTCTTCGGTTCACAATGTAAAAATGTTATAAAACTTCGGAAAGTTTTTGGTTCAAAAATTTGCAGAGCGATTTAATAACTCTCTTGTGTAAAACATGGTTGCATTTGTTATCTGGAAATATATCGAGAGAAAATTCCTCAAAATAAAAATCCTCAAAAAATGCTCAAGCGCACCCGAAATTCCTCACGTTTTGAGGAATTACTCACAAAGTGGCAACACTGCTCCGATGTGTACATCGTATGTACCACGGAAAAGAACTAGCACACAGTAATAATGTGCCCGGACTGGTAGTTCCCGTTAGATTTACAATAGCAATACCAATAAAAAAGAAAAAAATATCATGATCAAAAAAGTACAGACTACATGAAAATAAGCAAAGTAAAGGAGTTACGCAGCAGCTAAGCTACGCAAAAATCAAAAATGTGGCTCGGTAGAACTTTTCGTGCTGATTTCAACTATACCAAAATTATTTGGCGAAAGTAAAATATAAAGATATCAATGATGCCAAAATAAAGGTAACTAATTAATGGGTCTTTCATAATTTGTTCCCTTTTTTATGTTTTTAAGCTAGAAATACTTTAAAACAAAAAAATATATGTAATGGCATTTTTTTTATTTGTTTTAAAAAGGGCTATACTATATACGTCGAGTAAAAGGTTTTTAAGTTATCTTTAAATAAGCATCAATACTTTAGTGAGCGGTCAAGTAGTTTCCGAGATATTATAAATATAAGAAATATAAAAGTTTAACCTTCACCTCTTTTATAAGCTTCGTTTTTTATTTATTCCAAATAATAATGGGATGGTTGAAATCAGAAAAGTTCTATCGAGCTACATTTTTGCTTTTCTATGGCTAAACGGTTTGTGATCTAGACCACGTGTACTTCGGACTACTTCTGTCTAAATCCGGGAGTACGGGAACAGGCCAAATGTAAAGAAAATATAAAAAGTAAACAATCAACTGTCAAAGCTAACTCTGGCTCTGGCACATACAGCTTTCGTGCTGCTTTGGCGTTGGTTTTGCTTTTACAGCTAAGATAAATACATACGTTTATATGAAGCAGTTCTCATAGGCAACTCTGACGCAACAGAAACACGACCGCTGGTTAACTCTTGCCGATTTGCGCACTTTGACGCTCCCTTAATATAATTATTCACTTTTTACTAATAAACACACAAAATCGTGTAAAGAAAAAACGAATAAAGACCGCGACGACCAAATGCTTCCATTTTAAAAAGGTTTGAATTTTTTTCCATCGTAAAATTCAAATTCAAAAACTAAAAACATTTGCTGTCAGAGCATTCATTGAAGCAAACACTAGCGCTACTTGTGTTGCTGTCAAAATGAAACAACGCGAAAGCGATGCGAAAGCTGTATGTGACAGAGCCTTTACGGTTGCCACTTGTTAAAAAAATAACCAACCAAAATCTGAAAAAAAAAAACAACCAAATTGAAAAACAAAAAAAAAAACAAATTTGTTTTTGTATCCGAAAAATCTCATCATGTTATTTCAAAACAATAATTTTAAAAAATATGTTCATACTTGTTTGAAAATATGCATACGTATTCGCCAGTAGCTGAGTGCGCAGAGGTGCGTGCTACTATTTGTTAGCTTTCAGGAGGTTCCAGGTTCGAATGCCGTCAAAAGCAACACATTCAAATTATACATACATATGTGTATAAATGTACTTATTAGGGATGTGCCGGATAGAGCTTTTGGCGGATAACCGGATTCCGGATACCATGTAAAAAATAAGAGCCGGATTCGGATATCCGGTAGACTGATGCCCTTAATAAATTTCACAATATTGTTATATTAGGTTTTTTTGTTTAGCGACATACTTATGACCAGATTTTCTACTTTTTCGAGCTGAAATATACAATACGCAATTAGGAATATAAAATTTCTCCTCTGAAATCCAAGTTATAAAATAATGCTGTATTTAAAATTTAACTTTTCCGTCTGCAACCCTGGTTCATCGTTTTTTTTTTTTTTTTTTGGTAAATAGAGGATACATGTCAACGACAAAAGAAAAACAACAATGAACGCCACTAAGTAAACATGCGTAGTTTATGTATTTTTATTTTACCCTTACTCTCTTTGGACTTATCACCACAGGAAAACATATCGTAATAATCATGTCACAAATTATATTTCCAATGGAAACTGCCTATTTCTCATGGGCTGCAACAAGGCGAATTTATATAAGGTGGTGTTGCTTCATCAGCTGTGATTAGCATTTGATTGTTAAAATTTTGTATTTCGCTAGTGAGTGAGTGAAAACGTGAGAGTGCTTGTTTTTTCGTTTGCCCTTATTTATTCGGGAAGAATAGCTGAGTTTTGACAATACCCCGCTAAAAGCAAAAACAAAATACAAGTAATTTCTGTATTTGTTGGTTCAATACCACCTTATATGAATTGGCCTGGGCTTCAATATATGTATGTCAGCGCTTATTGCTTGACATCTATTGCTGGCAATCTGGTAATTTGACAGCCATATTTTCTTTTGAAAAAAAAAACGTGCTGGCGATAAAATCGATGAAATTTTGACATTAAATCAAAATAAGGAGCCTTTCCCTATCGGATTACACCGTGCCACAAAAACCAAAAATTTTTAAAACACACGAAAAAATCAATATATTCACAAAACTAGGAGCCACATAAATATAATGTAACTGCGCTTTTAATTTTTCTCTAGGATTTCTAGGATATGATTGAACAAAAAAATTATTTAAATGATTTGGTGCATTGTAGAGTAACAATATGGGTATCAGTTAAAAGGAAAAATTCTGTAGAATGGAAAAAAACTTAATTTTTGGGTGCACCAGGACGAATAAGTGTTGAAAGTGTCCCTTTAAAACTTTATATCTGCGGAAATCTCCAATATTTATTTTTGAAAAAAATATATGTGAAGGACTAATATATAAACGAGCATATCCTCAAATTTCGTCCCTCTAACTGTAGTTTTAGATAAAAGGAAATGTACACTTCTCTTTATAGGATATTGATAGTTACAATAAACATAAATGAAGATACTAGAATTACACTGTAAAGCACTCGGCTGGGTATTGAACCAAACTAATTTTTTTTAAGAAATTGAGTCATAGGTAAAAAAGTAATTTCTCCGTTTTCCGAAGTTAGCCTCCGAAATCGAGATATGGGCCTTCGAAGTATAGTACATGGTTGGTTGAACACATGAAACAACAACAAAATTATCCAATCATGCTATTTATGAAATCTATGCACCATGCTAGACAGTATGCACCGGATCGTGAATACCCCTACTGACAATGAAGTATCTCTTGCACCACCTTCCTTAGTGAACTCAAAAAGAGTGTTTATTGCATCGGGTAGCATTCGTATTAAAAATAGAAATAGGCTGTTGCCCGATAATGTGGAAATACTTCTTTAAATAATGAAATATATATACATTTTTAACTCAAATTATTAGTAAGATAGATACTATTAAATATGGTTATAAAATCCGGCCGGATTTCAGCCAGTATCCGGCCGGATAATCGGATAACAGAAAAACGACCAAATAGGCCGGATTCCGGATATCTACCGGATAGAAATTTCTCCGGATAACCGGATTCCGGATACCATGTAAAAAATAAGAGCCGGATTCGGATATCCGGTAGACTGCTGCCCTATGTAAATTTCACAATATTGTTAGGTTTTTTTGTTTAGCGACATACTTATGTGCAGATTATCTGCTTTTTTAGCTGAACTATTCCATACGTAATTAATAGTACCCCTGAAATCCAAGTTATAAAATAATACTATATTAAAAATATAACTTTTCCGTCTGCATCCCTGATTTATAGATTATTTCGATAAACAAAGGAGAAACGTCAAAGACAAAAGATAAAAAAAAAATAGCTCCGCTAAGGAAAAACGCGTGGTTGATGTATTTTCATTAAAAAAAAATGAAAATTGTACTACAATACATGCTTATATATCGCCTGCTTCACATATCGTCCCTCTGTTGCAATATTTTGTGACCCAAGATTTAAAACTCGTTTTTTTCTGACATAAATGCAGCTAAAACTGGGTAAATTGAAGAGGGAGCTCACCAGGATATTGGCAATGCTTTGAGGAAATCGCCAACGGTTGTGATGCTGATTCCAGTTTTTGTAGTGATGTGGATAGGCAAACGATGGGTAGACAAGGCAGCGACCGTACAAGAAATGCGCGATTTAGAAATTGAGAAATATTTACCCAGTGTGTTTTGCTGAGAAGCAAAACCAACGTACGC